AAAGATATACATATGTCTTTAGCTGTAGGAAATTGTGAAAGTAAAGTATTAGGAAAGGGTACCGTCAAATTTGCAGTAAAAGTAGGCAATTGAATAAATGGATTGAGATTAGATAATGTGTTATATAATCCAAATCTAAAAGAAATTTACTATCGGGAGCAAGGTTAGAAAAGGCAGGTGATCATTTTGTGATTTTCAAAAGGGAAGATGTGGATATACTTTAATAATTGGGATAGATTATGCTACGCTAAACGATATGACGGACTTTATCACGTAAAACCATTTAGATATGCAACAGATAAAAAGGAAGCTGGTTACGTACAGAATTTGGAAGTTAATAAAGTAGACAGTGCAATGCTATGGCATTGGAGATTTAGCCACGTAAATTTTGATTATATTAAGAATACTAGTAAAAATCAAAGCATAAAAGGGTTACCAGAAATTGAAAAACCAATGGAGAGGTGTGGACCTTGTATTATTGCTAAATATAGTAGAATAACTTTTAAAACTGTTCCGAAGAGATTGTATAAACCATTGCAGTTGGTTTATTTAGACGTTTGTGGCCCACTACCATTTCCATCTAAGGGTGGGAGTAAATATTTCCTCGCTATTGTGGTTGACTATAGTAGATTAGCTATAGTGTATTGTATGAAAAATAAAAATGAATCGTTCTACAACTTTAAGAATTATCATAGGCAAATGGAAAGACTGACGAATAGAAAATTAATAAGTATATGCACCGATAACGGTGGGGAATTTTGTAACAAGCAATTCGAAGGGTACTTAGCCGAAAATGGAATTAATGTTGAACACACAAACGCGTACACCCCAGAAGAGAACAGTCTGTGTGTGAACATTTTAATCGAACGGCATTAAACACAGTTAAAACTATGCTTAATGATGGTAAAATGGGAAAAGAATGGTGGGCAGAAGAAGCTCTTGGCTGTTTCATACATACGTGGAACACAGTATGTCATAAAAGCAACCGAAGCCCTTATGAAATGTTCCTAAATAGAAATCCCAGTGTTGTTTATTTTAAAATATTTGGTTGTAAAGCCTATGTTGGTGTGCCAAAACAGATTAGATATAAATTACAAATGAGGTGCAAAGAAGGAACCATGGTAGGATATGCGAAGGAGACTAGGGTTATAATATATGGCTACCAGAAGAATGCAGATTAATAGAAACCTGTAATGTGAAGTCAAGGTGAATTCGTCATTTGCATCGTCAGTTGCCGAGATGAGGCCCTCCATCATGGAGCAAGTGTAGAGTGCCTTAAAGGCACGAATGACACCTTGATCCATAGGCTGAATTAGAGATGTAGTGTTCACTGGTAGAAACTCTCTGCACACTGTCATATTGCAGGTCTGTTGCATGGCCTTCTGCACAGTCCATCAGGAGAAGGACTTTAAAAGGGAGGCCCTTTTCAGCCAGATACAGCTTCACCTGGGGAATGAAGCAATGAAGAAACCATTCAAAGGTCAGAGCTTTCGTTATCCAGACCTTGGAGTTATGCATCCAGAACACCGGCAACAGAGCCGTATTTTTGTTTTTTAATGCCTGTGGATTTTTGGCTTTATAAATAAAGCCTGGCTTAAGCATAAAACCTGCAGCATTGCCAGCCATGATGACAGTAACACGGTCTTTGTGAGTCTTGAGACCTGGCCTCTTCACTTCATCCTTAAACAGGAATGTATGCGAAGGCATCCTCTTCCAAAAAACGCATGTTTCATTCATGTTGAAAACTTGTTCAGGGAGGTAGCTTCCCGTACTGATGAGGTTTGGAAACTCTTCCTCCACGTAACAACAAGCAGCATCGTTGTCAGCAGAGGAAGTCTCACCATACAGAAACACGTTTCTGAGGCCATATCTTTTTTAAAATTTTTCAAACCAGCCTTTGCTGGCTGAAAAGCCTCGTCCTCAAGGAGGCGGATCCCTCCTGGCAGCGCTTGCTGGCTTGAGGTTCGTCAGCATCTTCACCTCTTCATTGTCATCATCGGCAAGGTTTGGTCGTAGAGAGCTTTGGCCATTGTCCTGATCATATTAGTGTCCAAACTCACTGTCTTTTTCCTGCAATCAGCAATCCACAATGCCAGTGCAGATTCCATTTTCACAATTCTGTTATTTCATGGAGTTACCACACATTTCGCTTCTTTATTGAAGCAGTTTTTGCGGATGTTTGCTTCCTGTTTTTTTTTTGTACCGCACTGTAGATTCATTTCCCCCGTAATGGTTTGCCACAAATGCATAACTTCTGCCCTCTTTGATCATATCTAAAAGTTTCACTTTTTCGCTGATGGTCATCATTTTCTTCCTCTTAGGCGCCCCGGAGGAATCTTTTGCAGGGGCACAGCACTTAGGCGGCATTATAAGGGCTTAATTAATGAAAAAAGTTATCGCTTAAACAAAAAAAGTTATCGCCAACACAACACTAAAACAAGTATGTGAGACAGTCAACATCATGGACAAGACTGGCTAGATACAACAAGAGAATATGCTAGGTGAGGCTGCGATGATGCGCAGACAATCAACTCACAGGGATAAATCCACTCATGCTCTCACTGGTCGATGTCACACCAGAAACCAATCACACGCCTTTATCAGAACCCGTGGTATGTGCTCTGAGTCAACTCATCTCTTTGGTTTTATTTTTTGATGAATATTTTGGAAAAACCCACAAAGCACTGAAGTCACAAAACATGAAGCGCAAAGTGGCGAAGGAACACTGTACATACATTTTATAAATTTCCCTTATTGTTATTTTATTAATTTTTATTTCATAATTTAATTTTATGTTGAATGCATTTATACAGTCAAAAGTTGTTAATTCGGACACCCCTAATCCGGACCTCAAAGCTACAAACTTTCTGTGCATGTGTCACGTTGACGCATGCGCATAGGACCTTTACGGCTGCGAATATGCGCGTGCACGTGCACAAAATACGTTTATGAATGCGCGTTTAATGTATAGCGGACGGTATAAGCTAAGCTAAAATTATCTAATTCAGTTAATGTTGCAGATTGCGTTGTTCCTTAATCTTCGAATTGGATTCGGCTTTTTTTGCAGACTGTTAGAGCAATTTTATAAAAGTAAGCTTAAACTTTCGATTATGTCAAATAGAATTTCTGATATATATTTACTAATATGTAAAGGATCTACAAAGCGAAAGTATGTTTCGAAGTCCATTAAAAAAAGTGGAATTGCTGCAAAAAAATGGATAAAGGCATATCCTTTTTCTAAACTTTAACATTTGTTTATCTAAACTTTGTTTATCTTGATGCTGCTGCGCAATGAATTGGAAGTTGATCTGTCGCACTATCCTTATCTTCAGGCAGATTTTTTATTTTATTTGGCTTATAATTCCTTATTAATGTAGTATTTCATCTCGATGTACTCCGTCTTTGATAGATTTAATTCAAATTCCTCGTCATTATAAATATCACGAATACACATCAAATAGTTTTCTGGTGCTATTTTCTAATTTCAACTATGCGTTAATGTTGCTTTACGCATGCGCACGTTGAAAGAAATGTTTAATAAAGTAAACAAATAAATATTAATCTTTTTTTTTTGTAAATTTTGATACCCTTTAGATCATAATTGTTCTTTATTTCATAAATTATGGTTTCATATTTTTAATTTTATAATTTCTGCATGCCATCTTGTCAGATTTAAACTGATGATCTATAATCTGGAAAAATCGATAATCCGGAATCGCTGAAGTCCCGACGAGTCCGGATTAACGACTTTTGACTGTATTAAATATTTTGCAGTACTTTTGTATTATCAGGACGAGATTCAGAAATGTATGTATGTATGTGTGCATACACACATGTGTATGTATACATGCATACATACATTTCTGAATCTGCTTCCAATAACAAAAGAAGTACCAATTTTTGTTTGCATTTATATGTAAATGGGGAGGCACTGTTTATCTTTAACACTTGTCTATGTGTCTTGCTTTTGAAGGGGAGGTATTTGTTTATAGCAAAGTACTCAGAAGCTGCTACATACTTAAAGTTACGGATGACTTTGTGAAGGACTTTCTAAAGGAAACTGTCTCACATACATGTTACACTTTGTGAAGACTATGAAAACAGCAGCAGCTTGTTTGCTGGAATGTGAACCCTGGACCAAGCTACCAGTCCAGTGACTTTACTGCTCTGCCACTTGTGAGCATCTTTTGTGTATGTCAAATCTTTCTTAGAAATTTAGTGTCATGTAGGGATTATGCATCCAAACCTCTCTCTCTCTCTTTTTTTTTTTTTTTTTTTTTGTTCCTTTTTCATTTTATTAGTTCCACGTTCTTTCTTTTATTAGTTCATTTTGTGTACTGAGCAACTTCCTCATGAGAAAATACTATATAATGAAAGTAAAAAACACTTCAAAGGTTCGTTAGCTTACAAATGACCATGGTTAAGACTGCTCGGCACTTAACATATGCATATGTCTGCAGTTTAGTGTTAATTTTATTTCATTTTAGCAAGGGGACCATAATAATAAGGAAGTGCTTTTGATTTTTTCTTTCATAGATTTAAACTTTTAACTTTTTTATGCATTTCTTGGATTTTTCTTTTGACATTGCAACTATATGAAATATTCATATATCTTTCAATTATTTAATGATTGCTTGAAAAGTGTGTACCTTTTGTAGTTTTACATATTTTGCCCAGTTCTTTGAATCATTCAAAGACTGCAGTGTGTTGACAGCAGAAAACAATTCTGATGACTGTAAATTCTTACCTATGTCCTATGTCATCCTGACCCTCTTTAAAGCAATCCATATATAACTGAAAGACCTCCTGACAAGTTTCAAGACTCAGTTTTTTTCTCTCATTGTTTTACCATAACGTTTTCATTATTTATCCAGTCTGAATATAAATTAAATCATTATTAGCAACAAAAAGTAAAATAGAAGTAATATGTTATATATTTCATTGTAAAAAAAAAAATGCAAAGCATTAGGGTAAAAACATTTACTTACATATCATTTTATTTTCTTTATTCAGGCTACTGAAGGCTCATGCCCAGTACCTAAACCATCTGTATTTGATTTAGTTGGAAAAGCCAAATGGGATGCTTGGAATTCTCTTGGTTCTATGCCTAAGGTGAGCATACTTTTTTTTTTTTTTTTTTTTTTTGTAACGTAATTAAATATAAATATTACGGCACTTCCAATAACTTGATTTATCTTATGATTATCATTGATAAATTTAGGTTGAAGAACCGATTGATAAATCAGGTTCTTTAAAAACATATCTTTTTATTTTTAGTAGTAACATATACAATAGATAAATTTCTTTGATGTTAGCTTATTGAGAATTCTGTATATGTGAGAAAATCTAAGTGGCTTTTGTTTTATATTGTGTTTGCGTAATGGCATCATAAGTCAAATCAGTATGAAATACAATAAAATAACAATAATACAATGAAATAAATAGTAACTTAGATATTAGCTATATCTACATACTTTGAATATCTACGTACAAAGGTAGACTTGAATTTGTGTTGTACTGTGTCGTAGGTGCTATTCAACACTTGCACTTTGTGTGACTTAGTGGGCTATCATGAGACTTATTCAGTAATGAGAAGACCAGTTGAGCTTAATCTGATTGGTTGAAAAATATTTTTTATGCACCTTTTTATGCACTATTCAATCTGATTGGTTGAAAAATATTTTTTATGTGCCATTTTGGCCTGTATGTGTGTTTAACAGAAAAGCACAGTATATGTGCACATAAATGCATTCTAAAATGCATGGCTGGTGTTTAACTGCAGTATTGGATAAACTTTAGCCTGGCAGCTTATACCTTTTGTTTTTATCAGAAGCTTAATAATGAGAAACTATTGTTTGCTTTTTAGCCACTTTTAATGAAATTCCTTTATTTCCAGACTATTTCATTCTGTTGCTTTCTCCAGTTAGCATGTGCAAGAAAATTTTTAAAGTCATTAGTTTTTCATTACTTGCCTTCTTGTGGATAGGTTGTAGAGACATGAGGTATTTTTTGGAAGCAGGCAAGATGAAAAATATGCAACACCTTCACCGGGAATCGAATTGTGGACCTCTCAATTTTGCGCTGAGCATGCAGACCACTACACCACGAAGGCTGGCTAAGAAGGTGGGAGAAATATCTTATATACTCCCTCTTTTAAAGGGCGACTGGGTTTTTTTTTAGGGGACCCAATCACCAAATCCTGGGTGAGGAGAATCATCATCCAACACCCTTTCAGTTCGGGCATCACTGTAGAGACATTAGGTTATTTGGAAGCAGGAAATGTGAAAAATATGCAACGCCTTCGCCGGAAATCAAACCTGGGACCTCTCCATTACACGCTTAGCGTGCAGACCACTACACCACGAAGGCTCTCTAAGAAGGCAGGAGAAATGCCTTATAAGGTAATGAAACCTATGATCATAATTTCTTGAAAGAGCATTCATTGTAACTGCATTTTCATACATGAATTTTTTATTTGATCATTGCGCTGTTTTCATTTCTCCTAACTAGTATCCTATATTTGATTTTGTAATCCTTAATATTATGCTTTTTTTATCTGATATGTTTGTATTAAATTAAGGTCTGCAGTAGCCCTGTCAAGAATGTTGATTAGGTGCATTTTAGCATTGGCGAAAAACAAAAGCAAGCATTTGCACATGTGCAAGAAACAAACATTATTACACTCTGTCAATATAATGGTTTTTCATTTTAAAATCCTCATTATGTTTATTATTTTTTAACAAAAATGTAAAATTAATTTGTAACGGCACAGAGTATAGTATAAAATTTTGTTAGCAGTTTATCACAAAAATAACTAACTTACTGGAAAATTATAAACTTTTCTGGTGGCTAGTGTTCAGCAATTGCTGCTAGTTATGCCACAAATACAATTATCGCAGCCAACTTGGAACCCGAGTATGAACTCTGCTGAATCCTATTTAGCAGACTTTGAAAATCTCTGAGAATTGCAAAAATTCATCATCATTTATAAATTTTGAAATTTTATTGTTTAAGAAGTACAATTTCATGGAATGTGAATTTTGACATTCTTTACTGTTAGACAAAATGCTGTATTTTTGAAAAAATATGACATTATCTTTTTCATTAGCCAGCAAACTTCATAAACATAATCCCATTATGCTTCTTTACATAATATGTATATATTCTGTGCAAAAACAAACACTAATGATAAAAATAACTGCCGAATTTGAAGGTGAAAATCCTCACTCTATTGTGTTTACATGTATTTAATATAAAATTATATAATAAAAAAATAGGTTATTATATAAAAGCATTTTGACAGCATCATGCTTTGCCCATTCTGACGACACGCAGCATTGCCTCAGGGATGCTTTTTGAGGGGTGTGGATAATCGGAAAGAACCAAGATTATATAGCTTGTTAACATAATAGTATAAGCTATTTTAAGTAACTAAACAGTATTTTGATATTTTTAATAGCAATAAAATTATTAACAGAATATTTGCTGTTTGAATTATTTGAAAATACAAGTTGTCATTCCATGCAGTTTATTACTTAAGAAAAGAATATTAATTCTGAAGTTACACATTCATTAGAAAGGTATTAAAAAAAGAAATCAGTGATCCTGACCTTATGCAAAGTATTTTGTATCCAGTAAGTACCAAATTTTCAAAATTATCTACTTCATATAAACACATCCAAAAAAGAGTTTTTGTCTTATAATTGCAGTTTTTATGAATTTAAATGATATGACACCATTTGGGGAGTTATGGAAATAAGGAGGAATATATCTTGTAGTCAATGAAATATTAATTATTATTATCTCTCAACTTAGATGGCATTTTGTGTGCAAAATTTAAGTAATCATATTTAACATTTCATGAAAAATGCTTTTTAACAAAATGTGAATTTATTCTCTAGCATTGAATTCTTACTTCGTTACACTAATTATAACAGTTTGACCATTTTCAGTTAACTTAGGTTCATAAATAATTAATTTACATTCATTATTTATATAGTAAAGAATGCAAATAAGTTATAAATCACATATAGTTGCTTATCCTGTACTTAAATAAGGGAAATCACAGTAAAAATATATTTCAGGGTGCCGCTTGGCGATTGGGCAGCAAGCCACAATTTCAAGATGGCCGCTACATGAAACCAAAATAACCAAAAAGTCAAAGAATTGCACAAACTCGGTGCCCATGTGCACATTGATCTAGTTTGCCTTAAAAAAAATTAGAGAATTGCACAAACTTGGCATTGTGCACTCCCTTGACTTTGACTGTCTTATGCCAGGAGTCATTGTATAGTCCCAGATTTTTGGACTATTTCTTATTTCTTTCCAAAGCCAGTACTCTGGTAGTTGATCGTCATTGGATGTATCATCAATAATTATTCACCTATACTTTCTTCGAAAATTGCATAATTCGTCATGTTTACGATTGCCTGGATTAGCGTGTTACAAAGTCATGCACATGTCCTGAACGCTGCGCGAGCTTGTATACAATTTAGGCCCAACATCTTCGAATCTAAATCGTAGGTTAAGGGGTTAAAGATTATTCGCTTTAGAAGAGATGTCTTTGTAGAGAGTTTTATTTGATGTCTTAAGTTGTTAAAAATAGCTCTAAGTGTTGAACATTTTAGAATTTTTGTACTGTAGAAGAGAACTATCATTGAAAATATTTTTTTTTAAATTTATTTTATGCTTGTGTCAATCATAAAATAAAAAAGAATATTGGAATAATAATTTTGCCATTTATAGGATGAAGCCAAAAATAAGTATGTAGCACTTGTAAACCAGTTGCTTTTGCAAAGCAGTGATGACAGTAATGTGAACAGCAACGTGGAAAAGGGGAAGTATGAAGGCATACATTATTCAGAAAGTAAAGATATTACTGAAATAATATTTGATCGACCTAGTAAAAAGAATGCTATAACTGTGCAGGTAAGAACTTCATTTAAAAATTTATAAATATTTTCTTCAAAAAGCAAATAGAAATACAGTGAAAATCATTTAACACAAAACTGATGGAACTGAAGTATTTTTTCGTGTTAAATGTTGCAAAAACAAACAAAAAATATATTTAACAAAATTAAGTTCGTTAGAGTACATTTTACTTACATAGATACACGTAACACATCGTTCAATAGGTCCCGGGACTAACTGACAGATGGTGTAGTAATATCAACTTGACTTTGTTGTTCGAAAGAACTAATCTTCGAATGACACGTGTCTGATTTTCATGGCATTCGAACCGGAAATAGCGAAGCTATTGTGGTGAAAGTGGTACTACTTGTGCATTTGTGAACAAAATGGAGAAAACCGAATTTTGAGTGTTGTTCAAACATTGCTATTTAATAGGCAAAAATACCGTCCAAGCTCAGCGTTGGCTTGAAAAGTGTTATCCAGGTTCTACTTCATTGAAAACAACCATTTGCTGTTGGTACGCTGATTTCAAGCACAGTCGCACGGATACAAATGATGTTAGTCACTCCGGAAGATGTGAAACAAGTACTTAAAATCGTGATGAATGACCGCAAAGTGAAAGTTCGTAAGATTGCTGAGATGGTAAACTTATCAACTTAAAGTGTGTGTATGATTTTACATGAAAAGTTGGGCATAAAAAAAGTGTTTTCATGAAACATGAAATTCAATGTTGTCACAATGGAACAACAAATTGATGATTCACAGAGCTGTTTGTCACTGTTTACTCGAAATAAACAGGATTTCTTACATCGATATATGACAATGGATGAAACATATATTCATTATTTCACTCCACAGTCGAAGCGGCAGTCATCTGAGTGGCATGCATCCGGTGAAAGCTGTCCAAAGTGTCCAAAAACGCAACAGTCAGCTGGCAAAGTCATGGCATCAGTGTTTTGGGATGCGCAAGGTATTATTTAATCAACTACCTTGAAAAGGGAAAATCTATCAATAGAGCTATTACAGTGAGTTATTGGTGCGTCTGAAGGATGAAATAGCAAAAAAAAAAAAAAAAAAAAAAAAGACCGCACATGAAGCAGAAAAAAATCATCTTCCATCAAGACAATGCCCTGTGCCACAAGTCAATGCAAACACTTGTTACATTGAACAAGTTGGGCTTCACTCTGCTTCCCCATCCACCATACTCCCCAGATCTAGCCCCCAATGACTACTGGCTGTTTGCTTATCTCAAAAAGATGCTCCAGGGAAAAAGATTTGGCTCAAATGAGGAAGTCATCGCTGCCACTGAAGCTTATTTTGCGGGCAAGGACAAATTGTTTTAAAAGCATGGTATCGAAAAGTTAGAAAAGCGTTGGAATGATTGCATAGCTTTTGATGGTGATTATGTTAATGAATAAATGTGAATTTTGTGAAATGAATGTTGTTTTCTTAGTTAGTACCGGGACATATTAAAGATGTGTTATATGCATGTATTTAATAAAAATTAATCAAATAAAAATATCCTCAAAAACTTAATATAAAATTTTCAAGCTTTTTGAAAAGCAAAATATTTATTGAGTTTTTTGGAATATAATCTGATAGTTTTCTTTACATTGTTTGTTTTTAGCATCAAATTATCAACTAATTGTTTGATGTTGTCCATTTTGTTATTCATTTCACAATTGGAATGTGCGTTTAAGCAACTGCACATACTTTCATGATGTTCCTCATTTCGTATGACATGGGAACAGGAGTTGCATATTTTTCGTTTAATTTTCGTCATCGTAATCTGCATCAATAATATTTTTTGAGCTTTGAAGAAACTCCAAAATGTCTTTATCTGCTATAATTGGGGCTATACACAATTATCATCACCTACTGCAATGAATGTTTCCGATGATACCAGTAGGACAGTCCAATAATACAGAAACTATCTCAAGCTTTTCATTAAGTGTTGCCTCAGTTTCAATAACCTCCTTCTCCATTTTTTTAGGGGCGAACCAAATTCTCTGATTTTTATACACACTGCGATATACTCGTCACCAAATTCGAAAGTCAACTGATGAGAGATGAGATGTTTTTGTGTGGCGGCAGGTGAAAGTACCTTAGGTAAACGAAATTGACTTATATCACAGGAATTGGTTGTTCCAAGGATATTTCAGAGCCAAGTTAGCCTCTTTTCTATGAAACATGTGAAATCACTTTACATTTCACACCCTATTTAAATCTCGCCTGCACAGCCGATGTTTTGTGTATTTTACAAAGGGAAATCTTTTCGTGTTAAGCGATTTTCGTTTCGTGTTAAAAGGAAAAAAATGAAAAGTTTATCGGGACCGTTGTATTATTTCGTGTTAACAAATATTTCGTCTCAAACGTTTTCAAGCGATATTTTGCCTGATATAGTGAAATACATATAACGTTTTTTTCACATTAAATGTATTTATTTCACTGTATAAGAATTTAAAAGTTATATGAATGCCTTTTTTTTTCCCTAAAAAGTTTGTAATTCAATTTATTAGTTTCAAATCCGTATAATTAAAAAAAAAATTCTTTTCGTTTTTCAAGTATACTTAATACTTCTAATGATCTACTTTAATTCTGTATATGGCTTTCATTCAGGGTCTGAAAGATGATAAAATAATAGGTACTTTTCCATTACGCCATTATGCACCTGCTATGCTTTTTGGTGCTTGTGATAGAGAAGATCCACACAAACATATCGAGATCTATCAACTGTAATTTGAAATAAATGTGTTGCTATCTTCAGACTAATCTTATAATTAGAAATTATTTGCAATTAAAAATCTTATGCTTGGACTCTATTTAGCAGTGCCCAAAATCATGATAAGTGCATAACGGAAAAGTATGAAATAATAAATTCCTAGAAATTAAGATTTGATTTCTGGCATTAGTTGATTTTTTTATGTTTTAATGTCAGTTGGGGGAGATTTTCCATTGGTTTTATGAATTTGATGTTCGAACACCTGGAAATTTTTAGTTTTGAGCATTTAATCTCAAGTTGTTTTTTATCTTGCCTCTCTGCATATAGATATAAATAGTAGCCACACTTTGCTTCATGATATTGTTCTTTTCTGATCTTTATAAAATTTACAGCTTCACTCCGAGATTGTTTGGGATTTATAGGAACAAAAGTAAAGGAAATTCTAAATTTCGTAAACTTTCCTTTTATACTGATTTTAGTTCCTTAGAATATCATTGTTTTTTCCCCCATCATTTTAAAATGTTGCTGTGTTTTAAATTAATTTGCTGATGAGTTTTAACATGCTCAAACATTCAGACAGACATATATATTTTCCAAAAATTATCGTATTTTTCTCTACTTGTGTATAAAATAATTCCTTGAAATGTGTTAGGAAATTCTTGAAGTTAGATATGGGTAACAGTGAAAAATGAATATGAGATTGATATATTTGCTTCCATCATTCAAGTTACAAACATTTTTTCATCTGATACACTCATAATATATTTTTTTATCTTAATATTTATGTTGCATGCATCATTGGCATCTAATTTCTGTGAACATCAGCGCCAATTTAAGATGTGCATTGATACTTAATGTGTGTTGTTTAGCTGATATTTTGGAGTATGTTCTGTAATAGTAAAGGAGGTTTACTTTGGTAGTTGGGAAAGCCTGGACATATTTTTTGCTTGCAGAATCATAAAAATAACTCTTTAGACTTTTAATCCTAAATCTCACAAATATAAAGGATACAGATTGATTACACTTAATGCATTAATAATATGTAAAAAAATGCAAATAAAAGTAATTACTATGAATTGATAATTCAGTCCAAGGTACACTGTAGCAACTAATTAGCTAGTGGCTAACTGCAGCAGAAAGTAACTCTTTGAACATGGTCAAAGAGTCAAATCCAAAACGGAACACTGTTGTTTGCTGTAAGGTAGCACTTTTTACAGGTTAAGGGGGGGAGTGAGAAAGGAACGTTCAAAAGCAGTGAAATGTTTATATTTAATTAAAATTATATTTGTTCACAATTTCGTAGATGTATGACACCAAATCAAATGTAAAAAATTTGAAATTGCATTTTGAATATATTTTTAAATATTCTATTATATGTTCAGGATATAAAATATTTGTATCCTTAAAATATAATGGAAATTATTAAACCTCCTAAAAGTAATTTTCATATGCTTGCAATCAGAAATCCGCACTATGCCAGTTTATTAATGTACTGTGTGCTCATAGGAAAAATACATGAAAATCAGGAAAAGCATGTTAGAATTTCTCTGACAGTTATATTGATAAAGGGTTATTACAAAATTATGTGTCTTCAATAATTCATAGTAGAAGCAAAGTGAAAGATATAGCCTTTGGAAATTGACATGGTACATGCGTGCAGAAAAGTTTTTTCCTTAGCATTCTATGTGGTGATAAAGATGATCACTTTTTGCCACTTGGCAAGCTGGAAAAATAGCTGTCTGCAAACCGTATTTAAGATTTATAACAATCTCCATTTACATGAATTGAATTTTAGCTACTTTTAGTGAATTTTTCCAAGCTTTTGGCAGTGGTTTCAGGAATTCAAAATTCATGCTTATAATTTATTTCCTTGAACTTTAATGGAAGACACTACGAACAATTCAACTTCTTCATGTACAAGTATGTGATGTCAACCAAGACTTTTCCTTTGCACAAACAATACATTTTTATCATTTCTTATACCAAGCATAGATATATGTTTGGAAGAGATTTAGAGATTTATGAAAGGCGTAGAAGAGCTTGATTGAAAATTGCATTGAACCACAATAGTGAATTCCATTTTATTAAATTATGAAACGCAAAATACTATTTCGACTGTAGACATGCTAGTTTTGGCATACGGCATCATACGACATTAGGTTGATGAAACATCACCACATGGCATTCTAAAAAAAAATTTTCATATTTATGTATATGCACTCTTTTTGTTGTTTATCTGTTACAGTGCTTTTTTTTTTTTTTTTTTTTTTTGTGTGTGTGTGTGTGTGTGTGTGTG